AGGCCTATCCAGATCCTTCTCTTAATCGCCCGCCTATCCTACCCTTGACGCCCTATGCCCCTTAGACCCCCCTGCTTGAGCATGATACACGAGTGTCGGAAGGAGACGGGGGAGGGAGAAGGTACAAGGTGTTTGGCTATGGAGGATAGGTGAAGGGGATGAAGGATGGAGGAGGTGCAAGGTGTCGGGCTATGGTGGATGGGTGAAGGAGATGGAGGAGGGAGAAGGTAGAAGGTGCTTGGCTATAGTGGATGGGTGAAGGAGATGGAGGAGGAAGAAGGTAGATGGTGCTTAGCTATGGTGGATGGGTGAAGGAGGCGGAGGAGGAAGAAGGTAGAAGGCGCTTGGCTATGGTGGATGGATGAAGGAGATGGAGAGGAAGGAGATGGAGAAGGAAGAAGGTGGAAGGTGCGTGGCCTTGGTGGATGGGTGAAGGGGATGGAAGAGGAAGAAGGTCGAAGGTGCTTGGCTATGGTGGATGGGTGAAGGAGATGGAGGAGAAAGAAGGAAGAAGGTGCTTGCCTATGGTGGATGGGTGGAGGAGATGGAGGAAGAAGAAGGTAGAAGGTGCTTGGCTATGGTGGATGGGTGTGGGAGATGGAGGAGGAAGAAGATGTGGGGTGCCCGGCTATAGAGGATGGGTGCGAGAAACGGAGAAGGAAGAAGGTGGAAGCTGCGTGGCCATGGTGGATGGGTGAAGGGGATGGAGGAAGAAGACGGTAGAAGGTGCTTGTTGGTACAGTGACACGTCAACAGTACCACATCAACAATGACACGTCAGACACAGTGCCACGTCAGCAGTGCCACGTCAGACACAGTGCCACGTCAGCAGTGTCACATCAGACGCAGTGCCACGTCAGCAGTGCCCCGCCACCATGACGGGCACAGCTCTGGGCATGCCAGGCCAACTGGCCAACGAGTCCATTGCCGACTACAAAAAGCGTTTCCAGGCTCAGCTCGCTGCAATCGAGGCTGAGGAACAACGCCAACTGGCAGCCAAGGTTGCCCAGCTACAGGCTGAAGAAGCGGCAACAGCAGAGAAGCTGCGGCTACAGGCCGAAGCAGACGCAGATACCCAGGCTCGCCGAAAGGAAGCCCAGGATCTGCTGCTGCGGCACGAAGCCAACAGCATCGACAAACTCAAGTACTGGCACTTTGAACCGAATGGCGACGAGCCAACACCGGAAGAGCAGCATAAGGAGTTAATGGCCAAGCTCGTGGCCAGGCTGGTTTACACATGTAACCACCTGCAGTCCGAGCTGGCAAACCTTCAGCGGGCTGTGCGGAACCATAAGACTCAGCATGAGGATGCCACACGGGCACTGGACGCCCGTGTACTGGACTTGGAACAAGCTGTACCAGGACCAGTTCCTGGGGCTTCCAGCAGTGCATCCTCTAGCCGCCAACTGGAAGAACGCGTTGACCACGTAGTGGCAATGCTAGGAGACATAAGTGCCTTCACAGAGCCGGCCACCATCAGCCAGCGGTTCGAGTTGCTGGACACCAAGATCAGTCAACAACAGCTCGGCGAGGCCATACAAGATGCCGACGTTCCGAATCGAGAAATTTGATGACTACACACATCAAGACCCGGTCGTCTGGTGGCAAGGATTTACAATGGAGTTGGGGATCCACAAGGTCCCTGACCATTTGTTCATCAGTGCTCTGTTCATCAACACCAAGGGAGGATGTCAGATCTAGCTCAGCCACATGGCGACCATCCACGGCGTCCAGGTTTCAGACCTGCAGAAGAAGGTCAACTAGGAGGAAATGACAAAGGAATGGAAGAAGCGGTTCATAGTGGATGACGCACCCGTGCTCGCCATCAACCGCATCTTCGCGATGGCTCAAGGGAGCACATCGACACGTGACTGGCTCACGGATTGGCAGAAGATCGTGGCCACGCCCGATCGGGACTTGCCATTTCCGCATCTACGCCGTGAGTTCTACAACAGGTCATGCGCCGCTCTGAGCCTCGCACTAGGTGATCGCGAGCAGTACATCACTTTCACAGAGATCATCAACAAGGCGAGAGAGATCATCAAGACCAACAGGGCGGCTGCACACGAGAAGTCAACGTGGCAGCCAACCTATGTGGAGAAGGTACGAACTGGTCCGCGACAGCAGCAGTTCGCTGCAGTCCAATCGGACAGTGGAGAAGACCCAGCAGCCATTCCAGCATCACGTGAGGGAGATCAGGTGGCTGCTGTCCAGCCGCGAAGCAACAAGCCCCGAGTGAACGGGAAGGCGAAACCAGCATCGCAGGCCGGAAACGGACAGCCAGCACCACCATGGGTCAAGTTCGGCTTGACCGAGGCCGAGTACAAGTACCGCAACCATTACGGCTGCTGTTACTGGTGGAACAGCACCAAGCACAAGACCTCCATTTGCTAAGATCAGGCCAAGGAGGATGTACAGCCTCGTCTTAACTCGGGAAACTTAGTTGCGCAGGAGGTGAGGCGACTCCACCTCTCACTCCGCCAGATTCGGCCGCCTTGCTAGCGGCCTCCTACACATCTGGGGAGGATGCGCATGTTGCAAGTCCTCGGTACACTTACGAGGATTATGCTGTCCACTTGGTCCCACCGCTGGACCAACCGCTCCACGTGCAACAATCTACCGCATGCACGGTTTCATCAGCATCGGCAACCGATTCGGCAGCTTCGCCGCTATCTATCGTCGGGGATTCATCGTCGTGGTCAAGACTTGAGGTGCTTGACCCACTGATGTTCACGGACTTCCAGTGGATGCCCGTTCCCCAGACCGGACGATTGTCGAAACCGCATTGCAATGTGCTCATGGCACAACTGCGAGATTACTTGCACACTGCAGTACCAGCTCCGTTGATGGACGCCGGAGTACAGGTTGTCGACCTTCACGCTTACATTGCGAAGATCGACCGCGAGTTCAAGACGCAACGGTACGACGACATCGACTCACCATTGCTATATGTACGCATTCAGATCGGAGAGGCGACCAGCAACGCCTTGATCGATTGCGGAGCATCTCGCAACTATATCAGCCAGGACTTCATGGTGCGCGCCGACCTTGGCCCACGTGTCCGAAGGAAGTCCCAGCCTACGCAAGTCACTTTGGCAGACGGTCATACGCACAAGTCCATCGACCAGTGCATTGACGCCGTCCCCGTGTACTTCGCCCCTCACGCAAGTGAGGCGGTGTCCTTTGATATTCTGGACACCAAATTTGACATGATCTTGGGCATGTCATGGCTGCGAAGCGAGAATCACCCGGTGAACTTCTTCCACCGCACCGTTCACATTCGTGATCGGAACGGAGTATTAGTTCCATGCACGGTACCTCTTCCTCATCCTTCGATCAGTTGCCATGTGGTATCCGCCGCAAGCATGCGAGCATCCATCATCAGAGACGACATCGAGGAGATGGGGGTGTGTTTTCTCCACGCCCTCCCGCCCCGAGACACTTCATCGACGGACTCATCTTCGGATCCACGCATCACCGAACTTCTCGACGCCTACAGCGACGTGTTCGAAGGCCCGCACGAAGTAGTACTGGATCGACCCATCCGCCACGAGATCATCCTCGAGGACGGGGCCGTGCCTCCGCGCGGTTGCATCTACCGAATGAGCGAGGAAGAGTTAAGTGTGCTCCGTGCACAACTCGACGATCTTCTAGAGAAAGGCTGGATTCGGCCTAGCTCATCGCCATACGGTGCTCCTGTTCTCTTCGTCCGGAAGAAGAACAAGGACCTGCGGTTGTGCATCGATTATCGCAAGCTCAACGCGCAGACGATCAGGAACGCCGGCCCTCTCCCACGCATCGACGATCTTCTCGAGCGACTGGGCGGCACCAAGTTCTTCTCCAAGCTCGATCTCAAGTCGGGATATCACCAACTCGAGATTCGCAAGGAGGATTGCTACAAGACCGCGTTTAAGACGCGATATGGGCATTTCGAATGGCTGGTCATGCCATTTGGCCTTACCCCAACCACTTTCCAAGCGGCTATGACAACGGAGTTCCGACACATGCTCGATCGTTACGTACTTATCTACCTCGACGACATCCTAGTGTACAGCCGGAGTTTGGAGGAGCATGTGGAACACTTGCGCACCGTTTTGCAGCGGCTACGTCAAGCCAAGTACAAAGTCAACCGCGACAAGTGCGAATTCGCGCGGCAGGAGCTGGAGTACTTGGGACACTATGTGACGCCGCAAGGCATCCGTCCGCTTGCGGACAAGATTGAGGCCCTACGAGTATGGCCCGAGCCCACCAACACCACGGAMGTTCGTTCATTCATGGGGTTGGCGGGCTACTATCAGCGATTCATCACCGGATACTCCAGGATTGCTGCACCTATGACGAGGTTACAGTCGCCAAAGGTGCCATTCGTATTCGATGACGACATGCGCCAATCATTCCAAGCACTTAAGACGGCTATGCTTATAGCACCCGTCCTTAGCATCTATGACCCCACCCTGCCGACGAGAGTGATTACGGACGCTTCAGGCTACGGCATTGGGGCAGTCTTGGAACAGCACGACGGCGACGACTAGCACCCGGTGGAGTATTTCAGCCACAAAGTGCCTCCCATCAACTCGCTTGATGATGCAAGGAAGAAGGAGCTACTCGCGTTCGTCATGGCTCTTAAGCGATGGCGGCACTTCCTCCTTGGGCGTCGTAGGTTCACATGGGTTACGGACAACAATCCATTGACCTACTACCAGACGCAGGATACGGTGAGCAGCACGATCGGACGATGGATGTACTTCATCGACCAATTTGACTTCACACCGAAACATTTGTCCGGCCTCTCAAATCGCGCAGCAAATGCACTCTCGCGAAGACCCGATCTTTGCGCTATGACACATCATGCCTTCGCATTCGACGAGGAGCTTCTGCGACACTTCATCCGGGCATATGATTCTGATCCGGACTTCGCCACGATGTACGCACAGCTATCTTCTGATCACCCGCCGGCCAGCCACTATCGCATCGTCGACGGATACTTGCTCCTCCACTCGAGAGGCAAGGACTTATTGTGTGTCCCACGCGACCGTCGTCTTCGGACTCGCCTCCTCGGCGAGTATCATGATTCACGACTCGCCGGTCATTTCGGAGTCAACCGCACTATTGCACGGCTTCGACAGCGATTTCGATGGCCCGACCTCATTACCGATGTCACTCGGTATTGCCACTCGTGCGAGGTTTGCCGACGCAGCAAACCCCTCAACCGCAATCCCTATGGCGAGTTACACCCGATGCCTATCCCACGGGAACCCGATCTCTGCATTGCCATGGACGTCACAGGTCCATTTCCTCGTGACCGGCTCGGGCACGACGGCATCCTCACGGTTGTGGACCGATTGAGTAAGTACGCACGTTTTCTCCCTTGCAAGTACTACTCCACGGCTCCTGAGCTGACACGCCTCCTGCACACTGGTTGGATTTGTGGCCACGGTGTACCAGAAGACATTGTCAGCGACCGCGACACTCGTTTCATGTCGGCGTTTTGGACTGCTCTCATGCAGGATTCCGACACAACAATGAAACCAAGTTCGGCTCGGCATCCTCAGACAGACGGGCAGACTGAGCGGGCACATCAAACCGCTCAAATGATGCTTCGTACGCTCATCCGTCCGGACCAGAAAGATTGGGTTGACCGCCTCCCCGACATCGAGTTTGCCTACAACACTTCGGTGCATCCGGCGATCGGCGTGACTCCATTCGAGTTGCATCACGGTGGATGGAAAGGCCGTATCTTCGCCGACCTTCTCCTCCCTCGACCAGCCGACATTGACGCTGCCTGCTCTTCCGCTTCCGTCCGGAAGTACAGGGAATTGCTGACTCAAGCCCGCGCAAATATGCAAAAGGCTCAAGTCCGCATGCAGCAGCAAGCCAACAGGCGTAGCGTACCATGTCCCATCCGCGCCGGTGATCTGGTTTGGGTCTCCGCGGAAGAGTTTGCACTGGAACAGGATGTTTCACGCAAACTGCTTCCCAAGTGGTTTGGACCTTGGTCTGTGACAGCAGCCGCGGGCGATGAGCCCGATGGCCCTTCATTTGTGATCAACATTCCAAAGCATTTGACGGTCCATCCGGTTTTCCACGCCTCGAAGCTGGCAACATACACGCCAGCCAAGAGCGACGACTTTCTGGGCCGACGATCGCAGGACCCTCCTTCTATGGATGGCCATCAGGAAGTTGACCGCGTCATCACCGATCGCAAGTACGGCAGCAAGCCGCAGTAGTACAAAGTCACATTCAAAGCATGCGATCGCGACGACACTCGGTGGATTTCAGGAGCAGATTTGAAAGCATTCACACCGCTGATCTACGGTCACTATGAACGTCAAAGGTTAGCCAAGGGACCTCCACGACCTGCCCCTCCCACCCGGACTGTGGTCCCTCCCTCAGACAGACAGCTTCACCCTC